TCACCTCTGGTCTTCTGTTCTATCATGGGAGTTAAGACCAGCTGGGGTGCTTCTCGTATCAGTTTCCAGCACATAAGTCTCTGTGATCTGCAGCAGAAATTCTTACAACAGGGCCCTTAGAAGTCTTGTCCTCTGATGGGCTGCCAGAGGCAGAGTCCAAGGCATATCTCTGCAGGCAGACTTTTCTTGCTGAGTTTCCTAGGGACTGAGAGAAAACTATCAGAAGGAAGAGGCTCCCCTGTGTTCTACAACTAGTAATCTACTACTCTCTTGGGTGGAAGATGGGATTTATTGCTGTCCAGCTACTTATTTGGTTCAGTTGGCTCCGCTGACTGGAGATGACCACAGTAACAGATTCAGCATCTTAAGAAAGCTCTTTTGAATGAAATGAATATGCTTGAAATCCTTTTCCCAGAATGCAGCTCAGAGCACCTTACCTCCTGCTAGGAAAATGAGTTTAAGTGTATGCCCTCTATGTGGAATCCAGAGACTACACGTGCTTGCATAACCTATGCAACTTGCGGTCTTGTGATTTTCTTGGTATCACTAATCAAATTCTAGTCAACTGGGCTCAGATCACGACATGACATAAAATTAGCTCTCATTTATTTATTTATTAAACAATGAATGATAAAATCCTTACAACATTTTACATATATGGATCCTTGAAGCTTAAAAAGTGTGTACAATACAGTAAGCCTCAGGTCTCACATTCTATTGGTCAGTTAATATTTTGTCCTCTCTTCAGTCATGAAACAAAAAAATAAAAAATAGGAGAAGAAGCTCCTACTTGCTGCGAAAGAAATAAACATTCGAAATATGCAATTGTACACATGTCTGGATTTGATTTATCCTTTATTTCATTTGTCAAGTCTAAATAGCATAATCCCTTCCAATGAGAGTAGAGTTGAGCTGCTTTATATTAATAGACATAAATTAGATTATGAAAGGGCTCCTCACTTTCATGTCAGGATAAATAAAATATCTATAACTTCTTATATTCTCCAAATAAAATTTCACATGACTTGGCAAGATTATATTTTAAAATTCAACCATTTTACAATTTTAAATGATTTCTGCAATTAACATAGATTCATTTTCCTTGAAATCCAGAAGCAAAAGTGAAACTGGAGATATTAATACAAGATGGGGGCCAAAAAACTCTAGCCCATGCCACCCTAGCCTATGCCACCTTGGGGACTGAACCATCTTTCAGGTATACAAGGCCCTGTCAGTGGCTATGGTTTCCTCCTCCTGCAGCCCCCTAGCAAATGCAGCTTTGCCCTCCCCATGACCTGTGCGTGCGCGTGCACACACACAAATACCACCCTCCTCCCTCCAGCCCTATGGCAGCTTCAGTAAGAGATTCAGATCTGAAAAATAAATTTTGATAATTTTACAAATGAAAAAACTGAGACTCAAAGTTGAAATGAGTAGTCCACATATCATTACCTGCTGACAGGAGCCCTAGTTTACCCAACCCAGCCCAGTGCTCTTTCCACTGCCCATCTCAGCCTGCAAAAACCGCAGACGGCAAAACCGGAAAGATGGAAAGGCACCCATGCATCTCACCATTTGCCTCAGAGAGGCCCGCTTCACATGGGCTTCTCAAAAGACCTCCCTATGGTAGGTTTTGTTTATTTTGGGAGAACAAAACAATTTTTTCAATGTTTCAGTGGAGAGATCTGTGAACTGTGATGTAAGGAACCATAAGACACCAGTAAAAAATTTCAACTCAAAACCCAATAATCTGGGTTTTGAGATTTGGGAATTTGATTGGGAAAAAATGTTTTATGTATGTATATATATATCCTGGCAGATATGTTTTGAATTAGGTTATGCAGCAGTACGTTGTAGTGAAAAAAACAGGGCATTGGCCAGGTGCCATGGCTCATGCCTATAATCCCAGCACTTTGGGAGGCTGAGGCAGGAGGATTGCTTGAGCCAGGAGTTTTGAGACCAGTCTGGACATCATAGTGAGACCCTTGTCTCTACAAAAAATAAAAAATTTAACTGAATATAATGGTGCACACTTGTAGTCCCAGCTGCTCAGGAGGCTGAGGGGGAGGATCGCTTGTGCCTGGGAGTTGAGGCTGTAGTGAGCCATGATAGAGCCACTATACTCCAGTCTGGGCAACAGAGTGACACCTCACCTCAAAAAAAAAAAAAAAAAAGGAGGGGCCTCTGAAATAAGGTTGAAGGTTTTTATTTTGTTTTGTTTTACCCTACTACTTATTAGCTGAGTAACCTTGAGCAAGTTTCTTAATCTCCTCAAATTAGTTTCCTCATCTGTAAAGTGACTATCAATTTGGTGTAGAGAAAGATGGAGAATGAGACGGAAACAGGGAGACAAAGAAAGAGAGTAAGAGGGAGTTGGGGCCATGACAGCTCTCAGAATATGAAACTTCACAATACCTGGCACAAAATCGTCATTCAAATGTCTGGTGGCTGAATGAAAAGTCTCCTTCTTCAGCTGGGTCAACTCCTAAAAATATGTCTCCTTTGCTTTGAAGATAAAGACAGAATGACCCCTAAGGCTCCAGCCCATATAAAAGAGGTGAAAGATGACTCAGGCCTTAAAATTGTGTCTTGGGTTTGAGAATGTTTGTTACACAGTGGTATCCAACTACAAGGACAGAATACCCTCTGACTGCACCCCAAAGGCTTTATCTGGATGCCTAGACTCACCAGATTCTAGATTCCAGATGCCTAGATTCCCAGAATAACAATGAATTCAACGTTCAAGTGTCTCTTTCCCACTCTGATCTTCAAGACTGAAATAATCTTCCTCTCTGTGTTCACAGCACACTCTACTTCATACATTTATTGCACTGTATTGTAGCGGCCTGCTCCCTTATCTGTCTTGCCAAGTAGACTGTGAATGCCACAATCATTTGACTCGGTGCTATCCCACTTTCTAACCCATAATAGAGACTCAATATATATTTTCAAATTTAAAAATTCAAACAACCTCTATAAAGCATCTACCACTGTTAGCCCTGAAATCAGCCTAAGGTATGGATATTGCCCAGCATCCCCAACCCCAAGATTGAAATGAAGTAATTTATCTAGTTCCAGCATTGAGGCCCCTTAGATATCTTCTCAGGATGTTCCTCATGGTTAATCCACTCAATAAATTGTGTTCAAAAACAGGATCTCATGTACTGGGCCCAATGGCAGGGGTACAGCAAGGAATCCACTATGGTCCCTCTTGGAGAAGCTCACAGAATAAAATGAGCTTGGATGAAGTCTCTGACTTTCAGAGGCCACTAGCCATTAGCCAAAACATTTCTGGATCAGTATCTACATTCTATCATCAACTCGGTTCTCTAAAATTTGGCTTTAGAACCTGGTACATAGTGTACACTCAATAAACATTTGTTGGATAAAGTAGTGAATGGGATAGGATGAAAATTTCAGTGGGATTTTATTGCTCTAAGTGGATTGATATAGGAGCAGCAAATGTTATGAAATCAATTTCTTGGTTTTTTCTTTATTTTATTTTTTGAGTTGAAGTCTTGCTCTGTGGCACAGGTTAGAGTGCAGTGGCAGTATCTCAGCTCACTGCAACCTCCACCTCTTGGGTTCAAGCAATTCTCCTGACTCTGCCTCTTAGGTAGCTGGGATTACAGACATGCACCACCATGCCCAATTAATTTGGTATTTTTAGTAGGGACAGGGTTTTACCATGTTGGCTAGGTTGGCCTTGAACTCCTAATATCAGGTGACCCACCCTCCTTGGCATCCAAAAGTGCTGGGATTACAGGTGTGAGCCACCGCACCTGACCCCAAATCCTTTATTTAAGTAATTTGGCTTTGGGCACCCACTGAGCTGATGCATCCACCATGAGAATTTATCAGCACTTCAGAAGATCTCTGAGGACAGATGATGCTTCTTAGAAACACCTCTTGTGTCTAATTAGGTGAGGCGGGCTTTTCTGATAACAGCTAAACATGTTCCACTCGCCTTTAGATAGCTCTCAGAGACCTTCCATCCTACAAAGCATTGATTAACTAACCTTCCAAGTCTGCCAGTCACTGGAACACTTCCTGCTTCTGAACCATCTTCAGCTCCATGGAGTACCCTGCTAGATTCTTTAATCTCTCTTACTGATAATCTAAAATTATTTTCCTTTACACTTGTTTGTGGTTGATTTGCACAGCTGAAAAAGATCTTGTTTTTATGAATTCCCACAAGACTAGGCACACAGCAGGTGTTTAATAAGTACGTTTTAAAAAATGCGTCTTCAATGTGTAGCCCTGCCCAAGGTCTCCATGAAAACCGTATGGAACTGAAGAAAAAGGTCAGAGTACATCTCTCATGTACTCTAGACCTCTCCAGACAGCTCTCACTTTCTTTGTCCCTGTCTTCTGCAGAGGACCTACAGCGTTCTCAGGGACTGCAGGAAATAAGACAAACAGGGAAAAGGAAATCACAGAGCACGATTTAAATATGGCAGATGAGATGCTAGGCTGGAATCTTCTCTTTTGCTCAAAATAAATGCATGCATAAATGACGGTGACTGTAAGCCTGACAGCACTTCATCCATTCTCCAAAGTCTCCTGACAGTGGGACCTCAAGCAGGGGACTGGAAGGTCAATTTGTTTGGTACCAACTCTGACTCAGAAAGATTATTCTCCTGTGAGGTGAAGGAGAAGAAAAAAAAGAAGGACAGTGACATTTTCCAGCCACTACACCCAGAGGGTAACCCAGATGTTGGTGGGATGCGTGGGACTCACCAACCCACGCCTTCCCCCAAGGTTCCTCAGATAGAAGCGCCCTGTCAGTCTTCGGGCTGAATCAACCCCACGGCGACCCACTCCAAGGAGACTGTGACAGCAGGAAAGGTCATGACACACCCAGGTCTGGACACGCTGTCCCGGAGGCCGGGCGCGCCCCCCTCGGAGCCGCTCTCCACCAATGAGAGCCTGAGGTCCCGAGATGATGAGATGCGGGGCCGCTGCTCAGCCAATCAGGCGCCAGGCGCGGCCAGGGGGAGGGGATGGGAGGAGAGACCCGGGGCGATGGAGAGGCTGATACATCAACAGAAGTTTCTCACCTAGGAATGCTAGGGGCGCTCCCTCATCTCCTGTGTATCTCCACCTCTGCGCGGGAGAGGGGCCGAAGCTGCTCTCTCCACCTCTCGTACTGCTCGTTGCAAACGAGGGGGAAGCTGCTGAGAGCCCCTAACACCGCTAGCCTTTTAATATTGTATGCAAGGAGGAAGAGGGCGAGGGACAACTTGGAGCCGGGCAACTGACCTCCGACCCGAAAGGCCTCTGGGGAGGGAGGGCAAAAGAGGAGCGGCTGGGCTGGGGGACTTGATGCGGGGGTCATGGGCAGGGCGGCGCTCCTGGGACTGGCCCGCCTGTGCGCGCTGTGGGCAGCCCTGCTCGTGCTGTTCCCCTGCGGAGCCCAAGGAAACTGGATGTGAGTATGGAGGTGGCAGGGACGCATCGGGTAGATGGCAAAAGGGGTGCCCAATCCCGGGGAACTGTCAACTGAGGCTGAGGGAGAAGGGCCTGGACCCTCGGAGGAGTTGACGTAATTTTTCGGAAAACATCTGGGACTGGGGAGAGGCTTACGCTACGGGCGGCGGTGTCTTACAGGTGGTTGGGCATTGCCTCCTTCGGGATTCCGGAGAAGCTGGGCTGTGCCAACTTGCCGCTGAACAACCGCCAGAAGGAGCTGTGCAAGAGGAAACCGTACCTGCTGCCGAGCATCCGAGAGGGCGCCCGGCTGGGCATTCAGGAGTGCAGGAGCCAGTTCAGACACGAGAGATGGAACTGCATGATCACCGCGGCCTCCACCACCGCCCCTACGGGCGCCAGCCCCCTCTTTGGCTACGAGCTGAGCAGCGGTGAGTTCCGGGACCTTAGGGGTTGGTGGGGGACGGAAGGCGACAACTCCTCCACCGGTTCCTTCAAATAAATAGTGCTACTTGGCTCTGTAGTTCTCCGAGTTCCAAAAGAGGCCCTTTAGTGCAGGGGGATTGAGAGCTTCAGAGGCCAGACCTGGGGGGCAGGTGCGAGCCTGGAGGGAGGTGACTCCCCAGGTCCAGAGCCGAGCGCTCGGGGCTGGAGCTCTTCCTCTTTCCTGCGGCGCCCCGCCAGAGTTGAAAAAAAAAACTCTAATTCTCCTACCCCGCCGACCCCCTCGGACCCCGTAGCGCCCCCCTACATGGGTGACCAGCTGGAGAAACATGATGTCGGCCACGGGGAATGCGGCTGCCGCATCTGCTTTGATTTAACCAGCTCCGCTGCGCACCAAGCCCTGGACAAGTGGCTAATTGCAGCGAAGCCCCACCTTTATTGGCTCCTAGGAGCACCGAGTTGACAGAGTAATGGTGATTTTTAAAGCGACTGTCAGCGACCACCCAACCTGTGGCTAACCTGAGCGGGACCACTTGCGCGCTCCATGGTTCTCTGTCCTATCTCTTCCCTCCTCGGCTCACTCTTGAGGCGCGGGAAGCTGCGGGAAAACAAAATTCGACTTCCACGTGCGTAGATACTTGGTAGGATAAAGGTACAGGGAGCCAGGATTGTTCCTGGAATATCAGCAGATCCAAAGAAAGTTAGGACTGGGGCGCTGATAGATGCGCTATCGTTTTTCATGTTCATTTCCGTTCCCCCTCCGCCTTTGACCCTTCTCCACGCGGTCCCTGCGCGCACCCCCGCCGAGCCGCGCACCTCCCCCGCTGCGTTTTGGCCAGCACGCCCTTCCGAAGGAGCCGTGGCCCCCGTAGGGGGGAAAAAAAAGAAAGAAAGAAAAAGAAAAAAAGACGCGTTCTTCGCAGTTGCTGAAATGCAGAAGCATCAGCTGTTGAAAAGGTTTATTGGACAACGGGCATGAAACTCTTTCTACTCCAAACTAAACATCTGGAAAGAAAAAAAAAAAAAGTTGCCTGCTGATTCCCTTCTAGTCCGTGTTATTAGTGTTTTGATGGACTTTAATTTTCAAAGATTTTAGCTCAAACTCTACTGCAGGAGTGCTAAATGCACGATTTTCAATGTTCAACTTTTTTTCAATAGAACTTTTGTTTTGCCCGTGACATTTTAATTATCTTACTTTGCATTGCTTTTAAGACGGTAAGAGGACTAGCTAGTATTATATAAAATGTTTAATTGTTTCATGTTAATGTAAGACTAATCTTTAATGTGAAAGTATACTGTATCATTTACTAATTGCTTTGGTCTTTCCTTAATTTTAATTTTCATTTTGACTTGTATTATTTATGCAAACAAAAATCACACCAAAATGTTCAGCTTGTGTTCTGTGAGAGCACATTTTAAATTTGAAAAGAAAAATAATCTGGTTTTCTTTGGGTGTTGTATTATCGTTTATAGTATCCATGCAAAGAATTTTTAATTCAACATGCATCACTGAGCTATGACTGTCAACTACGCACTGAACTGGGTGAAAACGTACGTTTACATTTTAAAAATAAAGAGATGATTTTAAGGTAAAGGGACAACGTATGATCATACAATATATGACAATCTCTTCAAGTGGAATACTGAAAATTAATGTTGCTTTTTAAGAGACTAGAAGAAGAGGAAATCTTCCTTTCTGAATAGGTACTTATTAAAGCATCCATTGTAAGCAATTGGAAAATTACTTGTCTAGTTAAGATGATGAGTAGGAGGCTTTGTTCTGAACATAAACAGAGAGTTGCCTGGCTCTCTAATTTAGCCATTTATATTTTTTCTAGGCACCAAAGAGACAGCATTTATTTATGCCGTGATGGCTGCAGGCCTGGTGCATTCTGTGACCAGGTCATGCAGTGCAGTCAACATGACAGAGTGTTCCTGTGATGCCACCTTGCAGAACGGCGGCTCAGCAAGTGAGGGCTGGCACTGGGGGGGCTGCTCCGATGATGTCCAGTACGGCATGTGGTTCAGCAGAAAGTTCCTAGATTTCCCCATCAAAAACACCACGGGCAAAGAAAACAAAGTACTGTTAGCCATGAACCTACATAACAATGAAGCTGGAAGGCAGGTATGTATTAGAAAATGGAATAATCAAAATCCAGTGGCTTTAGGTAAATAACTAGGATAGCACATCTGGATGAATCTGTCCAAAAGACTTAAAAACCTAACACTGGCAGCCTTCAAGTGAGATGCTGAGAATTAATATTGTTTTCAAAAGACGACAGACACAGAAAATCTTCTTTTCTAAATACATATGCATTAAAGCATCCATGGTAAGCAATTGAAATATTTCTTCTCTTAAAAAAAAAAAGAAAAATTTATTCTCTAGTAAGAGGATGAATAGAAGGCTTTGTTCAGAATGAATGTGTTCGTGTGTGTGTTTGTGTGTACACACACATTTGCATATATTTTACATATGTGTACTTACACACACACACACACACACACATATATATATATATATATATATATATACACTCTTTCATGAATATGTACTAATCACAATTTTGGTTCTCTATCTGATATGAGTTAAATCGTGTAATAGGATGTCTTTGTGGTTGTATACTGCGTATGCCTAAAACTTTAATTATAATATAATAGATGCACAAGTGCCTATAGGCTTCGCTGGTTCTACCCCCTTAGTTGCAGAGCCAGAATATGATCTACAGCATATGCCTTTGTTATAGGACTGAATCAAATTTCATTTCCCCCAATTAAAATTTTTATTATACTTTTTGAAATCTACTTTTTAGTGGGCAGTGGCTCCTAAACACGTTGTGAGTTTTGTACTTAGCTTTTTGTAGCAAACATTCTTAGGGAATACACACGCTTAACTAATATATTTTGTAAAGGAAAGTTTTTTAAAAGATAAATAGTTATTTTATTAGAAAGCAATGTAGGTTCATTTCTAATTCATAAATACACCTAAGCATAAGGAAGCTATAGATATGCTAAACATAGATATTTTATAATATAAGTATCTTAAAGATACAGAGGAGACACTTTTGAAGAACTGCTACTTAATTACTGTCTTTGAATTCTGCATTTTTACAGTTTTCTTAAAATGGATCATTCTTTAGCTACATTTAACTTATACATATTCATATTAGTGAATATTGACACAATAAATTTTGAGTTCTACAACTTAGTTGGCAATTCATAGTGACTTTTCTAAAAGAGTCTAAATCTTTTATACGAATATATATTTTCTATGTTGTAATAAACTTTTTCAGTACAGGAATATTAGTACGTATCATATAATCTTGTAAATATTCAATAACTTATAAAGGTCCCAAAGTAATCATTTCAATCTGCCACATTCTTCTGAAATAAGTAAAACAAGTTGCAATATCTCTTAGGAATCTTTAAAGTATATGTTGCATTTGTTTTTCATTTTTGGAAAATGAATAAATGGAACCCATTTAGAATAGTTACAAGTCACTACCAGTTATCTTTACTTAGTCAATTTCAAATACAAAAACAGAAAAGTCAGTAAATATATCACCATCACCGTAACACTTCAAATTCAAATTTGAATTTTAATTCCATTTAAATATTTAATTCAAAATAGCAAAATAGTAGGAATGTCAGTAAACAGCCACGTAAGCTTTTCGTATTTTTCTTTAACAATGTTATTTTATTTTACCAAAATAACTCTTGCCTAACACCATAGTTATGCACGTCTCTTTCTCTTAAGATTTTACATTAAAAAAAAAAATGAGTGAGATGTTGCCTCAATTTGAATACTATCCAATAAAATAATTTTTATTATTTCTAGCATACTAATTAAAAGAGGTCAAATTTAATTAGCATATGTTCTTAAAACTCTGGAGTCAAAACTAGAGGTAAGATTATTCAAATTAATATAATTTTAAAACAAGAAAACAAATAAACGAATGCTTGTTATTAACAGACCTTAAGTCTTCTTTAGCCATTTTTTAAGGAAATTTGGTAGGGATTTTTAATGAACTAGAAATTCAAAACACAAAATCTCATGTTATAATTGATTCTCTTAAATAAAATCATCTTGGGACCTGTAAATAACCGAAAAACATAAATGTACTTTTATTGGTAGCATTCGGCAGCTATCTGGCTTTATTTTATCTTGTGTGTTTTTCAAATTAGGTAGGTAATATTCCTCTCTGTAACCATTAATGTTAATCTTAAATTATTATTTATATTCTGACTTTATTAAAAGCATACCTTTTATTCAGCATTAATTTTAATCCACTTTTATTGGCAAAAATAATTTTCTAACATCACCTAGGTTCTTGTTATTATTCTAACTAGCTTGAAAACAATTCAACCTATGCATATATGTACATTTTGTATAAATCTCTGAGTTTTCTCTACTGAATTTTTTTTTCACATTGTTCATTTTTGGTTCACATTGTTTCACATTTAAATGAAATCTTAAAATATTAGAAAACATTTACCTGGTTATTTGGTAGGTACTATGCTGGTGTTTTTGTTGTTGTTTTTATTTTCTCATGAGGTATTATAATTCAACATAGTTTTGTATTTTTCTTTCTGTGGATGGGAAACAAAACAAAAACACCAAAAAACAGGTTTCCTGGTTATTACCTAACATGGAAGAACAATCAACTCAATTTTTTCAACATTGGCAATTAGAATTTTAATCTAATGGGCATATTCTTCTGAGTAAAATTCAGGTCTGTATTCAATTGAGTTAATTTTTTAGCCTCAAAATCCCAAACTCAAAATGTAGGAAAGCGTTCAGAAAAATGTGGGTACTGGCGCTTAGTAGTACTGTGAGCAGGATAGATGATTTTCTAACCGCTAACCTTAAATACTCTGATTCCCACTTGGTTTCTGACACCATTCCTAAAGTTATGACTCCAAGAATAATGTTCCTGAATGGTGATTGGCTAACAGAATGATGTGATGTCTTCCAGGGGCAGAACTTCTGGGAATAATGTGACTTGGAATATTTATGGGTATTTCTTTTGGTGTGCTTAAAATATTTCCATTCTTCCCATGTCCACCTCATAAACTTTTAAGTTTCCCTACCCCATAATTTGTTTTATGATGAGTAACTCAACAAAGTGGGAAGGGCTCAATCCCAAATTTTCATTGACCTATTCCAAGAATATTTATAAGTAGTTGACCAACACATAGTGTTTTGCTTTTCAGTAGGTTCAAATATATTTTTAGACAGAAAGGGCAAAATGGGTCAGAGGAACAAGAATCCTACGTATACCCATCCAACCTCATGTCGCAGTTTTTATGAAAACTTAAATCATCTGATAGTTGAGAAAATGAAATGTTAAGTCACAAAACGTTCCACAACAATTTTCTGGCCATTTTTGTAAAATTTGGACAAAGCAATTTACTGAAAAACAATCACCAACTGCCACATTACCTCTGAGTCAAAATTATGGAACCAATCAGTTCTTAAACCACTTCTCAAGTGGTTTCTATGTTTACATTAAGTATTAATGATGCATCTTTCCTATTTCACTTCATTAGAAATTTATCAAACCAAAACTCACACAAGGAGCCCAGTAGATTAAATGTTACCCTCCTGATTGCTCTGACATAGTTTAAAAATATTCCACCAAAATGTGCACATCTGTTTGCAATAGTTAACAAAACATTCTTCTGTTAATATCGTTATAAACCTTAACAACTCAACTAGAGGAGAGAAAGGAATTTTCTCATAACCACACAGCACTCATTCCTTTGCTATTCTCTTATGTTCCTGTTAGCAGAAAATAATGGTGCTATCGCTGCAATTCAGAATGGCTATTTAACATTAATTAAGAATTCTAGAGGAAAATCTCCAGAATATACTTTTTGGGGGATGTTCATGCAATTTTCTTAAATATGCTTGCATTTTCTACTTTTATCTTTTCCTATTCTACTAAAATTATCCTGCTGCATATAAATACTTTATGTCATTTATCACCAACTCTCCTTCTGTAAGACAAACGTCTTAACCAGACTTTATTTTTCTGTAAAATTTAAATCATAAGTACCTGCTTATTAACTACCTACCTACTATGTGCAACAGATTTCTTCCTCTAAAACTAAATCAGGTAAAATGTTTATTAAAATGAGCTCTGAGAAGCACTAAGTTCTGTAGAATTAAACTTTGTGTATGTGTGCGTGTTTAACTGCCCTTGAATTTTGCATTTCATCAGTTCTGAGTGGTGATTACATTGCTTTATTCTAATTCCAGGTGGTCCAAGTTCTTTCCTTGGAGTATTATGAGGGAATAATCTTTTAAATTTTAAGTCAGGTTACTGATAATTTTTTCCCTGAAAATCATTTATCTTTCTTTTCCAGAATAGCTATATATATATATATATATGCTTATAGATATAGATATTGTAGCTTTGGTAGAATAACACTATTTTGGACGGGGTTAAAGCTGAGGGAATTGAAAGCGAGAGCCCAGCCAGCTCAAAACGATACCATTAACCTCTTAGCAGTGACACTTGTTTAAGAAGTGGTTTTTACTACTCCCTCTTGATTGAGTTTACCAACAGAGCATGAGATAAAACTGTTCAAGTGAGCTGGACCAATTATTCAATAAGCATTTGATGAGCATGTACTCTGTCCCTTGTGCTGTGCAAATTGGCAGCATCTTACATGGTGTCTGAAATGGCCAATAAAAGAAAAAGTCGGCTCCTCAGTCATGATCCAGGGGGAGAAACAGCTTTAAATCACTAAGTGATGGTTGTAAAGAAGGCTGGTCAAACATGTAAACATACATTGCTATGTTTTTAGTGTTCTTTGGACAATTTTGTTTTGTTATTACCTAGCACTAATTGTGCTCTCTTTTTCTCATAACCTCTGGAGCTTAAAATTTGAACAAAGGTAGGCAGATCACATTTATTTGCCTGGAAGTATTTTAAAGAATTGAGGGCTTTGTGAATATGAAATGCCATAAATTTAACCAAATAAGCTTCTGTGACATACTTTATAAATTGCTGTCATATAATCGCAGGACACCTTTTTCCTGGGTTAAGAAGAAATAGATACATCTATTAGTTTCTTAGTTTTGTGAATTCAAAAAAAGCATATGTGCCATATGCTATAAAGGACATAATTTAAATATTATTCTGTTTATGATTTTAAACACTACTAAGAAATATCAAGCATTGCACAAATATCAAGCATTGCTCTTATTTGAGGTTGCAAATATTATTTGTGTGTAATATTGTCTCATTAGATAGTTCAGATTTTTTTATCATTGTTTGAAAACATAACATTCTGCAAATGTCAGGTTTGGTACAAAATAGCAAAGTGTAGACCCCTGTCAATTTTGTAGTTTTGATAAGAACTATAAATGGAATTTAAACTGTGAGGTTTTTCCTTTCTTTGGTGAGATTACATCCATAATTTCCAAGTTATTGAATGGATGGATCCATCTTTCAGTTTACCCAGTATGTTGATAGAACGTCAACTCTACAGCTAGCCCTGATGATTTATTAATCTGTTCTGCCATCATCTGGGGATTGAAGGAAGCTATGCTGGCTAGCCTGCTATGTAAGAGATTAGAGCCCTAAACTTTTGAAATCTCTATATTGTTTTTGCACCCCTAGCCTCACTGGAAATGTTTATCTCAACTCTAACTGTACCTTCTTTTTCAGAGAAAGGGGCTTTTATTGAGATCTTAGTGTGTGCCAGGCAGTGGGCTATTACAAATATATGTAGTTTCATTTAATTTCTTGGTCTGTTTAAATTGAACTTAGCACTTAGAATTGGGAAACTTACATAAACATTATCGCCTTACTATTTTCCATGCTAGGATACTGCTACTGATTAATCAAGGATAGGACCTATGTTTTGAATTAATTTCCCAGAAAAGGAGAATCTGTTAGGTGGAGCCACCACACTGTAGCCCCTTCTCCTTCTTACGAACTAAACCAGATTTGTCATAGTTTCTTATGTGGCCTGGAACCAGGAGATAGCATTGTTCCCCACCTTCCCCCTCCCTTTGTATGTAACTGACTTTTCTAGTGTTCAAACTTGAGAACTCCCCGTTGAATCAATAGGCCTTATCCCTGGATCCCCATTAAAATAATCTCAGCAGCTTGGTGAACGTACCATCGTTTGGACACTCCATCCCCGGCCAGACCAATGAAATCAGAGTCTGAGAACTTTGAGCGTTATTTGTAAAGTTCCATGATGTTTCCATGCACCATGAGAGCTGAGGGTAACTTCTTACTTGGTGCTTCTCAAATTTTAATGACAATCTTGTGAAAATGCACAGATTTTGATTCTGCAGGTCTGGAGTGGGGCCTGAGAGCCTACATTTCTCACAAGTGATGCTGATGTTGCTGGTCCCTGAGCTGAAATCTGATAAATGAGGAGTTGAATTGTATCAGGAACATACGGACATGCATGAGCATTCAAAATTAGACCAGGGATTAGAAATAGAAGTAATTTCATTTTGTTATCTCAGATAATCTCCAATAATATTAGTCTGGTCCACTACTTTAGGTACAACTTGGAAAGGTTTGCTCTGAATGGTCAAGAAATTTGGACAAACATTTGGGACAAAAAACAAAGGACGAAACATTTGAAGCCTACGCAGTTTAAAAGACTGTTTATTTTCAAAACCATCATTTTTATTCAAGAAAAAACAGACCCAGAAAATTAAGTGATTAGATTAACTATGCTTCTGTTGTTGAGTAAAACACTTTATGATTGATAGTTGAACACAATTACTGTTGGTTTCAGGCTGTCGCCAAGCTGATGTCAGTAGACTGTCGCTGCCACGGAGTTTCCGGCTCTTGTGCTGTGAAAACATGCTGGAAAACGATGTCTTCTTTTGAAAAGATTGGCCATTTGTTGAAGGATAAATATGAAAACAGTATCCAGATATCAGACAAAATAAAGAGGAAAATGCGCAGGAGAGAAAAAGATCAGAAGAAAATACCAATCCACAAGGATGATCTGCTCTATGTTAATAAATCTCCCAACTACTGTGTAGAAGATAAGAAACTGGGAATCCCAGGGACACAAGGCAGAGAATGTAACCGTACGTCAGAGGGTGCAGACGGCTGCAACCTCCTCTGCTGTGGCCGAGGCTACAACACCCATGTGGTCAGGCACGTGGAGAGGTGTGAGTGTAAGTTCATCTGGTGCTGCTATGTCCGTTGCAGGAGGTGTGAAAGCATGACTGATGTCCACACGTGCAAGTAACCACTCCATCCAGCGTTGGGCAAGACGCCTCAGCAATATACAATGGCATTGCAAGCAGAGGGTGCCTCTCCCTGTGCAGCACTAGTTAAGTTGATTCTTACGGTGAAATCCCCAGAACCCTGGATCTCTCTAAGAGTTTCCTTTACCTGATAGACATATTTTCCTTTGCCAGATCAACCCATTGATCATGTGGATTTCTTGGAATTCTAACATTAAAAAGGTTTATATTCATCTTTTAGTGAATTGGGGACTATATATTGACATATAAGGAAGATAATCTGTTTCCTAAGCAAGAAATAACAGGGAAGATTCCTCATGCCAGGAGGCCTGCCATACTCAGGATAAGATCCTTGAATATGGAACTTAGTTACAGGACTGAATAGTGGTGGGTGATCATTAGTCATTTTTAAAAGACACCTCTAATAGCAACAAGGAGACGTTAACATGAATCTCATTTATTCTGTCAGTATTTTAATTGAAGAGATTATACTGTTTGGGCATAGACAGAAGATGTTGAAAAGTTAACATAAGCAGTGGGTGCTGACTTATCTTTTCATGCACTTCCAAAGAAAGGTAATCAAAAAAAGAATCTTCTTAAGTGATACGATATCCCTAAAAAATACTTGTTGCAGCTGTTTAGTGACAAAGAATTAATATGTAATGAGAAAATGGATGATTTCTATTTTAAGTGCCTTTAAAGTGGGAGAATCTAGAAAAAGGTCCATAAGGTATATAGCTGTCTTTCATCTTTAGATTCATACTTTGATTACAGACCAGTTTCCACTGTTAAAAACCCACCTCTGAGATACTACAGGGAGCATCCTGAAACATACGAGAAAAGTAGAGGCAAAAAATATATAATTTCATACATTGTAAAGAAAAGCACCCTTTAAATGTGTAAAGACAGTATTTTGTAAAGTATTTTGTTGAAAATGTTTCTATTTTGTAAATACAGTATTTAAGTTATATGATCTATATTAAAACTTAAAACATTTATTGACAAAGCCCAAGAGCTAAGGCAGTAAAATTATCTCATAAATAAGTTTAACTTCTTTTTTTTTTTCATACTATTAACACTGACTATTTTTTTTTTTTTTTGGACACAGAAGAGAATTCAATTTAGCAGTTAGTTATATGGAGGTGTACTTCTTGCTAAAATAATGTTATAGATTAAAATAAGCTGCAAAATATCAAAAATTGTGTTATTTCAGCAGTCAGATTAATTGAATTCTCTTTTCACATTAGTCATGCTTAACTCATAAGGTTGTAATAAATTATATAGTAAAAGTCTTAACTGGAAAAAAGCACCTAATTCAGAATAGTGATCAATTTATGGATTTGATATCCTGGATATTTATTATATTTTATGTAATGCTGCATTTCTATTTGAATGTTGAGTGGTCTTTCTTGTTTTAATATTCATGCATGTATATTCATCATATTTTACAAGATTCCTGGTAAAAATTACAGGGCTCTATTTAAGATTGTATTTTAATGTAAATGCCTATGTTTTTATGAATTGTCAAATATTTCGGTATTATATAGAAAAAACAGATTTCCTAAATTCAGAATGAAAACAGAGAGAATATTCATTTTCATATTAATAAGACAAAGAAATGTTTCCCTGTCCCACAGTCTTCATTCTATTTCCCTTTAATTTTACTCACTAAGAGCAATAATTTTTGGAAAAAAGCAAACCCATGGAAAAAGTCTCAGGTCTAATATTAAAATCAAGACTAAGCATTTAACTGTGACTCGTAAAGTTTGACAAAGTTATAATTTACTAAATGAGAGACACAGAAATGGCAAATATAAATATAGTGCATATTTAAAAGTGGTTTTCCATTCTTTAACATCCATTGAATAGAATAATCTGAAAATAGACACTCTTTCCTGCTTATTTTTTCAAAGTAAATCTGTTTTATCTTTGTCGAACAGAAGCACCCACAGAAAGACTGTAGTGTCTATTAACAACCAATTTCTTCTATTAATTAGAAAACCTTTCATATTACCTTATCAACTGACTGTGAGAATCTGGTAGCGTCTAATTTCCAAACACTTGATTACTGTGTAGCCATTGTTTTAAAAACAATGATGCTAACTCAGGCACATCTGTCTGGGATGCCTCAGCAAAACCTCTTCCTAACTCCAAACCTGTGTCTCCTGGCTCTTCTTTTCTTTTCACCTTTGATATCACCACAGAAGCCATCCTTCAGTTTCTCACCTGTCTTTTTTTTTTTTTTGACAGAGTCTCAGTCTGTTATCCAGGTTGGAGTGTAGTAGCCTAATCTACTTTGGTTGGAGATTGAGGTGGGTTTAAGCATTTCTCCCACCTCAATCTCCCAAGTAGCTGGGATTACAGACATGTGCCACCATGCCCGGATACTTTTTGTATTTTTAGTAGAGAAGGAGTTTCACCATATTGGCCAGGCTGGTCTCAAACTCTTGACCTCAAGTGATCCACCCACCTCGGCCTTCCGAAGTACTGGGATTACAGGGATGAACCACCAAACCCGACCATCACCTGTCTGTCTTATTGGCTGACACCCTGCCCTTAGTCTATTTCCATTGCACTCCCAGTCATGGTGCTCCTGGGAACACAATTCTGAGACCCAAAGGCTCCTATCTAGTCTAAACTACATGGGCTGTATTTATTAAGACCCCGTATGTTGCAAGTAATGGAAAAATCAACTCAGACTCATTTAAACATTAAATGTGGTGACTCAGTAACTAAAAACTCCAGACTTATGACTGGTTCAGGGGAAGCTTGATCCATAAGCTCACACCATGTTCCCTGGGCTCAGGTCTCTCCATCTCTTTAGGCTGGCTACTGGCAGTCTGCTACTTAAGGGTCCACACAGTGCTATGCATCAACCTCTTAGAAACGCTCTCACCCCCTGAATCTCCAGTCTACTTTTCTTAGCAACATGGCTGCCAAGCTTCCAGACCTCACATTTTCCTACCTACCACTCATTCTAAGGAAAGAGAGATCCCATCCTCAAGAGAGAGAGATTTTTTCCTGGTTTGGTCACACAGATGGAAGGAAAACCTTGTCTTTCTCAGAGGGCTCAGCAAAGGTCTTCTGAGTCTCGATGGTTCTAATTGGTTAAATGTGCCTCTCTCTGAAACAATCACCATGACCATCGGGGGTTTTGGGTGAGTCATAGGGACATTGATCCATCTTAAGGCCATCATGACCCATGTCTGGAAGTGGGTTTCCCCACAACTAAAATTACACAGCATGAGAATAGAGAGGGGGATGGTTTACCTAAAGGAAAACCAGGGTGTTATGTTACTGGTAATGAGTACCTGGACGCTGGGCAGCAAAGACATTAGATGTCTTAGTTCTCGGGAGTTGTTTAGGAGATCGCCTTTGGTGTCACGTGGAGCTCACAGCAGACAAAGCAAGCCCTAAGCACTGTGGATTATGTATGTGGCTATGAAGTGCTTCCATTTGTTTAAATGCCTTTCGTAATATTAAAGGGGGAAGGGAGGTGCTCCAGTGGATTATTCTTCAGTTTAGGAGTTCAACTTCTTTGTAAATTTGGAACTAACAGAGGCAGTGATAAGAGGCTATGATTCATCCTGAAACAAAATCAAGAAAAATATATTTTGATATTATCTGTAATATCTGGATTAGGAAGTTAAATAATTAAGGCATTTTCCTGATAACTGTACTTTACACAACATTAACAACACATTAATTCTTTTGAATATAAACAACTGCATTATTTCTTTATTTACAATTTGGATGGTAGTAATTTCATTTTGTATTTTAGAGACTATAATATTTATATTAAGAACAATACATTTTTAATTATACACATTAGACGCTGTGAACTTATATGTTTTGGCAGCTTTAAAACCATGTGATACACACGGTTAATATTTTAAAACACATTTTAATTTTCTCAAGGACTGTTAATACTAATATATTTGTTTGTACTTAGTTTAAAAGGTGGAAACAGAAAAGCTTCTCATCAAAATATTTATTTCTAGGCAATTTGGTGAGTTGTTTATCCTTTTTGCATCACTTCCCAAAGGTCGTCAAAGACTGAGAAATTCAACTCACTATTTAGAGGCAGGTATAGTTATCTAAACACTGATTACCTTGGGTGACTTGAGGGAAGAAAAATTTGAATAGTATCTCCAGAAACCAAGAATGCTCCTCAAGACAAGCCCTTCTTAAAGAAAGTTGGCTAAGATGCCTCCTTTTTAAAATTAATTTAACTTTTACTGTAGACCAGATGTGATAAATCATGACATTTCTTGGGGACAGGATGATGACACATGGCATAGCATGACGAGGAATGCAGTGATACACCAGGAAAGGGCTAACTTTTATATATATATATATATATATATATATATATATATATATATATATATATATAAATTCAACCATCACAACAATCTCGTAAAGTAGGTACATTATTGTGGTTTTTGTTTACAGCTGAGGAAACTGGGACACACAGTAAGTTCCCAGCCCAAGGTCACACAGAATGATCTGGCTTCAGTGTCTGTGTCCTTGACCACCACATTGTTATTGTGCTTCTCACAGTATCAAAATTGTCAGACTATGTTTACAAACATATATCATTTAAACAGTTTAGGGGATTTTTGCTGGGCATGGAGGCTTATGCCTGTAATCCAAGCTTTTTGAGAGGTCGAGGTGGGCTGATCATGAGGTCAAGAGATCGAGACCACCCTGGCCAACACAGTGAAACCCTGTCTCTACTAAAATACAAAAATTAGCTGGGAGTGGTGGTACACACCTGTAGTCCCAGCTACTCCGGAGGCTGAGGCAGGAGAATCGCTTGAATCCAGGAGGCAGAGGTTGCAGTGAGCCAAGATCATACCACAGCATTCCAGCCTGGGCAACAGAGTGAGACTCCATCTCAAAAACAAAAAAAAGTTTGGGGGATTTGTAAATGTAATGAAAGTTACAGGATGTTCTTCATGGTTTCGTTACATAAACTTGGTTGAAAAGTAGGGAGCAAAGTGATGGGAGAACTGAGATCTTCGAATTTACTATGAAATATGATTAAAATACACTGTCTCCTGATTACTGAGCCCAAAATGAGTTACGCTCACTTCTATTTTAGATTGCAATGTGGCTAACAGTTGGATTGTGCAAGAATGTAACAACCATTCCAAAAGAAAATAACTGGGGGTAAAGATCAAACTAATTTGGTGTGACATAAAATAAATACTACGTCCTTTTTATTGTTGTGCTTACAGCCAAATGTTACATAAGGTGTTATTTTTAACAGCTGCATTAAAATTTACTATTTGTAATGGTTTACACTCACATCCAAAGGAAAACCACTAGAGGTGGTTTGCACCAGATTAAAACCTTTTGAAGCAAAATCATATTAGCAAAAGCAGCCTCTCCCATGTGGTTATAAAGTAATAAATGAGAAGTCAACACAAACCAAAGTTTCGTGTGTGACTTTATAATTTGCAGAGCAAGTAAAAGCATCTGATTCGTGTGTGCGAATTGGAATGGCAGAAAGGGTGGTGGATGCAGGGCTGCCTTTTTCTCTATCAGATGACCATTTGGAACCCTCAGGCTAGCTCTGCTCCACAGAGGCCAAGTAGCCTTTTCTTCTACATTTTAGTAATCACCTGACACCCATGATCATGGCCCCATCTACTTGGCCCTGTTTAGCCAAGAAGAAAGGGCAGGCCCTGGCCCCTAATTACTCTTTGATGAGAGAAATATCACCAAATATACTAGTACACTTAAATACACCTCAAATTCTCTGGAAATCAAAGAAAGGTGTAGATATACAAAATGGAAATCAATAATAACCTATTTATTGCTAGTACATAATCCCTACTTTCTCTTAGTCCTATCCATTGTCATTGTTTCATCTCAAACTCCCTGGCAACAAGGCTTTATGTAAGGTAAGAAATGGCATAGGACACAACAGCAAAATGGGAAACCTGAAGAAGTGAATGGGACAAATCCTCTCTAACATGTCCCCTACTTAATGAGCACAGGAACTTTGCAAACTGAAAGACACATTTCAATTCTCAGTGTGAGAAATTATTTCCATCACCAGCTTGAAGTTGTTTTGCTTTCCCCAAATGCCCAGTTCATCATTTTTTAAGAAACTGTACTTTAAAATTTGTTGACTAAACACAGGAATGATTCAAAATTTCACTTGTCACAATTCCTGTAACTGTGCCCATATCCTTCACACCCAGTGCTTTAAAACCACAGGGAACCGAATCCAGAGTATTTCCATACTAGAATTTTAACACCCTTTTGTAAGGTCTTTTAACAGTTCCACAAGAATTAGCTGTCAATCTCATTCTTGGCCAAAAGCTTCAGATTTCTACAGAATTCTAAAGATGAGCACATTTACCTTAAATCTCAGGTCCTTTCCTGAAGGGCGAACTAGAAGCCATTTGGGGCAGGCTACAGTCCTCAGGTAAGGAGGAGGCAGGACTTAAGGCCCAGTTCTTGCTCATTCTTCATACCTAAGGAAATTCTCACCAATTGACTCTCCCACTTCCACCCACTGCAAACCACAACTCTCAGGGAATACTGCCTTCTCCACTAACCCAACATATTTCTAACAATAATCCTACCATCATTTGCTTTTAAATTTCTCCTCTTCTCAGAGCTTCGACTCAATACCTTCTCCTTGGGGTTCCTTTCTGTTCTTGCCAAATAGAGCACATAGTACTTCTGTAACCAGCCTTCAAAAATACAGAGCATACACAGGCTAAATAGTTTTTGGAGTTGAAACTTAAAATAATTTAAGAGATTTCCATGTTAATACAAACATCTGTATATAATAAAACAAAATGCAAAATTCATATGAAGTTTTACAGAGAACTTCACAGGCTCACACTAGGCTTTTAGCTAAAAGACAAGATTCCCAAGCGTAAGCATTAGTCTCCTCTGCTTTGAGGGATATACTTATGGAAAACAGATCAATTCTTTTCGACAGGTAGATATCCAAATCAGCCATCTTATTCCACTGGTGATACAGGAGGCTACACTTTGGTGCGGAAGTCATTGGCCTCACTGTTGAGTTTGTTCTGTGTCAGAGGGTGCCAGCTAAGCCCCAGCATCTTCCCCACCATAATCAGTATGCCATCCTGCCTTGCAGCAGGAATTGGAGTGGTGAGGTTATTAGGAGCAGAAATCAAGGTCCGCACTCTGCAGTGAGGCTCATCAACCACCTGCTACCACAGGAAGAGAGCAGCAAGAGCTCCCAGCCTCGTTGGCCTGTCACAGACTTTCCACTAAAGGCCAGACCAGCAAGCAAGTATAACCATTTAAAATGCAATCCACCTGAAGATAACAGAGAAACCTGGAGGTAAATATAACCATTTGCTGAGAATGATGGTTTCCAGCTTCATCCATAAGAACAGAAAACCAAACACTGCACGTTTTCACTTATAAGTAGGTGTTGAACAATGAGAACACATGGACACAGGAAGGGAAACATCACATACCGGGGCATGTCAGGGGGTGGAGGGGGCTAGGGAAGGGATAGCAGGGGATGAGGAGATTGGGGAGGGATAGCATTAGGAGAAATACCTAATGTAGATGACGGGGGGATGGGTGCAGCAAACCACCACGGCATGTGTATACCTATGTAAAAAACCTGCACAATCTGCACATGTACCCAGAACTTAAAAGTGTAATAAGAAATAAAAATAAAAATATATATAACCATTTAAAATGCTAGCTACCTGGAGATACATAAAAGCCTGAATTCTACGTATGAAGGGGAGTTGGTGTCAATGTGTAATAAGTGAAAAGGTAAGTAGTACATGAAAGTTAGAGGTTTGGAGGTCAAGGAGAATCTCAGGTGACGAGATTAATCCTCTCCTGTGATTCATCATGGGAACTTACTGCTCAAGTCATTTAATGGTTCCCTTCTGGCTGGGTATGATGCTCTTTATCACTGATTATTAGAGAAATGCAAATCAAAACCACACTGAGATACCACCTCATGCCAGTTAGAATGGCGATCATTTAAAAATCTGGAGACAACAGATGCTGGAGAGGATATGGAGAAATAGGAACAATTTTACACTGCTGGTGGGAGTGTACTCTAGTTCAACCATTGTGGAAGACAGTGTGGCGATTCCTCAAGGACCTAGAAATAGAAATTCCATTTGACCCAGCAATCCCATTACTGGGTATATAACCAAAGGATTAGAAATCATTCTATTATAAAGACACATGCACACGTATGTTCACAGTGGCACTTTTTACAATAGTAATGACCTGGAACCAACCCAAATGCCCATCGATGATAGACTGGACAAGGAAAATGTGGTACATATACACCATGGAATACTATACAGCCATAAGAAACGATAAGTTCATGTCCTTTGTAGGGACATGGATGAATCTGGAAATCATTCTCAGCAAACTGACACAAGAACAGGAAATCAAACACTGTATGTTCTCACTCACAGACGGGTGTTGAACAATGAGAACACATGGACACAGGGAGGGGAGCATCAAACACTGGTGTCGGTTGTGGGGGGCCAAGGAAGGGAGAGCAGGGGTTGGGGAGGAATGACATGGGGAGAAATGCTCATGATTTGGCTCTCTGTTAGTCTGTTATTGATGTATAGAAATGTTTGTGATTTCTGCACATTGATTTTGTATCCTGAAACTGCTGAAGTTGCTTATCAGTTTCAGGAGATTTTGGGCTGAGATGATAGGGTCTTCCAATTATACAATCATGTCATCTGCAAATAGAGACAA